CTTATTTTTCCCAAGGATTGTTTTAGCTATTTGTGGGGGTTTATTTTTCTATATGAATTTCAGGAGTGTTTTTGTCTACTTGAAAAATGTCATGGGTATCCTGATAGGGACCACATTAAATTTGTATAGTGCTTTGGTCAGTATTGCCATTTTGATAATGTTAATCCTCCCTATTCATGAGCAGGGTATGTGTCTCCATTTCCTAGTGTCCTTTTTTATTTCTTATAGTAGCATTTTGTAATTTTCCTTGTATAGGTCCTTCACCTCTTTGGTTAAGCTGATTCCAAGGTACTTGATTTTCTTAGGGACTATTGTGAATGGGATTTTTTAAAAATATCTCTTTCTTCTCTTTTGTTATTTGTATACAAGAAACCCATGGATTTTTGGGTGTTTATTTTGTAGACTGCCACTTTACTAAACCGACCTATTGTTTCTAGGAGCTTTTCTGTATAGTCTTTAGGGTTCTCTTAGTATAGTATCATGTCATCTGCATATAGTGATAGCTTGACCCCTTCCTTTCCTATCTATATTCCCTTCATATCTTTCTCTTGCCTAACTGCAATAGCTAGGACTTCCAGTACTATACTAAATAGGACTGGTGAAAGTGGGGAACCTTGTCTTGTGCCCAATCTTAGAGGTTTTAGTTTTTCCCATTGAGAATGATACTTGCTGTGTGCTTGTGGTAGATGGCTTTGACTATATTGAGGAAAGTTTCTTCGATGCCCATTTTGATGAGAGTTTTCATCATAAACGGGTGCTGGATCTTGTCAAATGCTTTCTCTGCATCTATTGATATTATCCTTGTGTTTTTATCTTTTCATTTGTTGATATGATGGATTATGTTGATGATTTCCAAATGTTAAACCATCCTTGCATCCCAGGGATGAATCCTACTTGGTCTTTGTGTATAATCTTATTGATGAGTCGTTAGATTCTTTTTGCTAATAGTTTGTTGAGGATCTTTGCATCTGTGTTCATCAGGGATATTGGCCTGTAATTCTCTTTCTTTGTGGTATCTCTGTCTTCTTTTGGCATCAGGGTGATATTTGTTTTATAGCAACTGTTTGGAAGTGTTTTTGATACTTCAGTTTTGTAGAAAAGCTTAAAGAGGATTGGGAGTAAGTCTTCTTTAAAGATTTGGAAGAATTCACTAGTGTGGGACTGGAGCAATAGCAAAGCGGGTAGGGTGTTTACATTGCATGCTACTGATCCAGATTTGATTCCCAGCATCCCATATGGTCTCCTGAGCACCATCAGGAGTGATTCCTGAGTGCATGAACCATGAGTGAATCCTGTGCATTGCCGGGTGTGACCCAAAAAAAGGAAAAAAAATTACTAGTGACTCCAGCTGGGGCAGGACTTGGGGAGACTTTTTATTACCGTTTCAATTCTCTTGATGGTGATAGGTCTCTTCAGGTATTCCAGGTCTTCTTGGTTCAGCCTTGGGATGCTATAGGAATCTAGAAATTTATCCATTTCCTCGAGGTTTTTGTGTTCCGTGTCATAAAGTTTTTTAAAGTACTCCCTGAGGATCCTTTGAATTTCTGTAGTTTCTGTTGTAATGACCCCCTTTTCATTTCTAATTTGGTTTGTTAGGGTTTTCTCTCTCCCTTTCTTTGTGAGTTTTGCTAGAGGCTTATTGATCTTGTTTATTTTCTCAAAGAACCAGTTCTTGGTTTCATTGATCTTTCAGATTTGCGGGGGGGGGGGGGGGTGGGGTGGGGGGGGTTTCCATCTCGTTAATTTCTGCTCTGAGTTTTATTATTCCCCTTCCTCCTGTTTGGGCTGGGCTCCTTTTGTTGGTCATTCTCCAAGCTCTTAAACTGTGAGGTTTGGGCTCGCTTCTCCTTCTTGAGGAATGCTTGTAGAGCTATAAATTTTCCCCTTAACATAAGCTTTTGCTGTGTCCCATAAGTTTTGGTAACTCGTGTCCTCCTTTTCGTTTGTTTCCAGGAATCTTTTGATTTCCTTTTTGATTTCCTTTCTAAGTCACTCGTCCAATAGTGAGCTGTTTAATTTCCAGGTGTTTGATTTAGTTTTCTGTTTTTGTGTGCAATTTACTTCTAATTTCAGTGCATTGTGGTCTGAAAATATGTTTGATACAATCTCTATCTTCTTAATTTTATGGAAGTATGTTTTGTGGCTCAGCATGTGGTCTATCTTGGAGAATGTTCTATGCACGCTTGAGAAGAATGTGCATTCAGCTTTTTGAGGATGTAGTGTCCTGTATATTTTTTTTTATTTCATACCATGGATATCATACTATCACCTTGCTCTTCTTTCCAAACAAAATATTTTTTCAGATTTACCGTATTCTATCTTTAATACAACCATGAAATTAAGAAGCAATGCCTAAAGAATTTTTTCTTTTCTATTTACTTTTTTCAATTTTCTTTAAATTTAGTCACCTTGAATTTACAAAATTATTCATGACTGGGATTCAAGCATATGGCATTTCAACACAGACCCCTTCACCAGTGTTTACTTTCCTCCACCAGTATCCCTCCAACCAGTCAGATTCTATGACAGGAGTTTTATACATGCAAATATATGTGTTTAGTTTATATATATTTATGAATGCCTACATTTATATATTTATATGTTTTGCACTGTGGTGCACAAAACATTTTTCTAATGTCCTTTTTTATCTTATATATAATCCTCAAAGTGCTCTAGATATACAAATATAAATATGCTGAGGAGTTGTGGGGTGCAGGTTTATTTCAGATAAGTGACTATTATCCCTTCTTTCTGGGCTCGTCTGAAAGCAGACCTTGGAGAAACCAACACACCTTAGTAAGTGTACACTAATCACTGGGGATGCATTGCAGACTAGATCGTTTTTATTGTTGTCTTCCCCAGCTTCACACTCTACTACAAAGTAGTAATAATTAAAACAGCATGGTACTGGAACAAAGGCAGAGCTGCAGACTAATAGAACAGGGTTGAATATACTGAGATCTCCCCTGAAACATATGATCATCTAATCTTTGATAAGGGAGCAAGAAATGTGAAATGGAGCAAGGAAAGCCTCTTCAACAAATTGTGCTGGCAAAACTGGACGGCTACATGCAAAAAAACTGGGCTCAGATCTCTGCCTCACACCATGCACAAAAGTAAGATCAAAATGGATTAAAGACCTCAACATCAGACTGGAATCCATAAGGTACATTGAAGACAAAGTTGACAAAACCCTCCATGACATTGAAGCTAATAGTATCTTCAAAGATGTCACACCACTGGCCAAGCAAATAATAAAAACAAACATTTTTTTTTAGTGGTACTTGTCTCCTCTATTCTTGGGTTAGTCTCCTATTTTGTTCCTTTTTTTTTTTGGCAAAATAATTTTTTAATTGAATTATTAAAGTTTGGTTCACATTTATAAAATTCTATTACTACTTATTTATATATATAACCCCAAATACAAATAAATACAAATAAAGATATTTGACCATTGCTAGTTCTGAGCTTGACTGTGTTAAATGGCTTTTCATTGTACAGAGACCAGCATTAATATTAACATGGCGAAGAAAATCTCTGCAGATCAGCCCTAATGAAGTTAAAATCTCCTGTTCTGTTATCATCATGAAGTTTTCTGAATTTCCTGTCATAACAAACTGCTTGCAAGAATGTTCATACGTTTATGTCTATTTTCAGTCAACACTTTTCAAGTTAAGAACTTGAGCCCAGATTGTCAGTATCACTGCAAATCACTAACTTTTGTAACTTATCTCAAGGGCAATACATCCTATAAGTTCTACCAAATTATTTTAGAAATTGTCACTTTTCTTCCTGGTTCTTGGGGCATGCTTCAATCAAGAGGTATCAAAATATCACTGTATTTCTTTTCATGTGATCTTTTGTACCCCTATTAAATTCTAATCAATTTGAAGTCAAGTTTCATTATTTCTAACAGTTTCAATGTCAAGCACAAAGTAGTGGCTAACAAAAGGCACCGTTAGGGTTGGAGATATGCTACATCTGGCAGAACTCTTGCTTTCTGTGCTGCAGAACTAGAGCAGAACTGGAATTCCTCACTTGCACGTTATCTGGTCCACCAATCCCTGCCAAGAATAATTCTGGGTGTAGAACCAGGAGTAATCGCTGAGCTTCCAATTTGTATTGTAATGTCCACGTTTTATCTTTCAACTAAACTGCAAATTTCCTGAATGAGAAGACAGCATTTTCCTAATCTGGGGATTGTTTTTCATATATTTATTCATTTGCCAAACTGATTTCTTTGAGGTAATAAATTCTTCTTCATAAATAAAGAGGTTATGTTACCTATTACAATTAATAAATTATAAACCACCATGGTTAAGATTAACATATGTATTTCACAAATTCAGGAACATTTAAATAAAATGGTTTAATTTAAGATGATTATATAGTTTAAGGTATAAAATTCTAAAGCTTGGGGCTGGAGCGATAGCACAGTGAGCACAGTGGGTAGGGTGTTTGTCTTGCACGCAGCCAACATGGTGGACCCAGGTTCGATTCCCAGCAACCCATATGGTCCCCTGAGCACCGCCAGGAGTAATTCCTGAGTGCATGAGCCAGGAGTAACCCCTGAGCATCGCCGGTTGTGACCCAAAAAGCAAAAAAAAAAAAATTCTAAAGTTTATGCTCCTTTGTTGATGACATCAATGTTTTCTTATAGTCAAATTGATTAATAACAAAAGTAAATTATCAATTAACATTAATAACCAGTGAAATATCATGATCTTACCTTTATTATTATTTTAACTTTTCCTGTAGTTGTAAATTTTCCAGATTTATTCAATTTTATCTTAAATCATAATTAAAAATAACAGATAATTCATGTAAGTAAATTAGTTAAAATATGTAATGAGGCATATATGTGAATTTTGACAAAATGACATTTTTTTACCCCCATCAGTTTCCTTTTGGAACAAAAGAGCAAATCATTTGCTTCAATATTCTAAAAATCCCTTTTGTATGTAATAAATGGATAACAATTATGAATAATAGATACATACCTGAGAATGAGCAGTTCTCCTGGTATGCCAGAAAGCCCAGAAAATACAATCACAGAAAAGAAAATAGCAATAGAGAAATGCAATTTGTCGCAGTTTGAGTCACACTGTCCATCAATAGCATCAATAAATTCATTATCTTTATCTACAGTTACTAATCCTACATTAATGCAAGAACAATTGTAGTATGTCTGTGAAAAAGAAATAAATAAAAATAAATAAATAAATAATAAAAGTAAACAACCTTTTAGAAATACAGTGAGAAAGCAAAATAAATTTCCATAGAATAATCAGTAACATCAGGGAGAACGGGAGAACAGGTAGTTTAATTTTTAGATATTCTGCCGGAGCAATGTACAGTTGGTAGGGCATTTGACTTACATGCAGTTAACCTGAGTTAGTTCCTCGGCATTTCTTATGGTTCCCCAAGCACAGTAAAATATAAATATATGTCTATTACATATACCTTTCTTTAAAATTTTTATTAATGACACATCATGAGGTACAGTTGTAGACTTACACATTTTTGTGCTTGGGTTTCAATTATACAGTGATCGAATACCCATCCCTCCACCAGTGCCCATTTCCCACCACCACGGATCCCAGTATCCCTCCCACCCTCATACCCTTCATCCCACCCTGCCTCTGTGGCAGGGCATTCCCTTTTGTTCTCTCTCTCTTATTGGGAATATATGTCTATTACATATATCTTTACGTTAAACTTTACATTCATATTTGGAATATGAAGTATTAATGACAACTAAGGTATTTTGAATAAAAAATAATTAGGTATAATTAACATTACTCCACAAAAATGTTCTTAATCTAAAAAAGTTCACCAAAATAGTTTGCTTACAGCTACACAAATAATTGTTCTGTGTGTGTATGTGTGTGTATGTGTCTGTGTTTCACACAAAGGTAGTAACAGAGGAGATTCTTTTCTGTGCTCTGAAGAACAACCAGGAGTTAAGTAAGAAGTAGACAAAGCCTGGTATGAAACAGAAGCACCCTTTGTACTTCAGATACCAACCAATACTACAATGCCTTTTATTTCAGAGAAAGTAGGTGGAAGCCTGCAGGCTACAGTGTGAGTGGAAAAGGAACAGGAAAACTGTCCACAAGACTTAGTGAGCAGATGGTGAAAATGGTGTGGAAGGACACTTGTTTTTCAGAGATGCTGAGTTGCAGGCCAAATTCTAGGCAAAGAGAACAACAATAAAAATGATCTTGTCTGCAATGCATCCCCAGTATTTGGTGATTACTGTACACTTACTAAGTTGTGTTGGTTGCTCCAAGATTCGCTTTCAGATGAGCCCAGAAAGAAGAGATAATAATCAATTACTCATCTGAAATAAACCTGCACCACACAAGATCTAAGCAGAGACTGGACACCCCATTCAGTCCCCTCCCTGATACCGCAGGCAAGAGCAACTGCAGAAAACAACATCTCATTTACAGGAGTCAGGATTTTATAAAATTTGTATTAGTGAAACACCATGAGGTACAATTGTAGACTTACAAATTTTTGTGCTTGGGTTTCAATTATACAATGATCGAGTACCCATCCCTCCACCAGTGCCCATTTTCACCACCACTGATCCCAGTGAACCTCCTGGTACTTATCTCCTCTATTCTTGGGTGTTAGTCAACCTATTTTGTTAATTTTTTGCAAAATAATTTTTAATTGAAGTATTCAAGTTTGGTACACATTTATAAAATTCTATTACTGCTTATACTTTAAAAAAAATTTTATTAGAGAAACACCATGAGGTACAGTTGTAGACTTACAAATTTTGTGCGTGGGTTTCAGTTATACAATGATCCAGTACCCATTCCTCCACCAGTGCCCATTCTCCTCCATCACTAATCCCAGTATCCCTCCCACATCCCATCCCCCCATCCCACACTGCCTCTGTAGCAGGGCACTCCCTTTTGTAATCTCTCTCCTTTTGGGTGCTGTGCTTTGCAAAAGAGGAATTGAGTGGCAATTATGTTCGGTCTATAGTCTACTTTTAGCATGCATTTCCCATCCTGAGCAGATCTTCCCAACACCCTTTACTTAGTGCTCCCTTCTCTATCTGAGCTGCCCTTTCCCCTAGAGTGTGCGGCTGGCCTCCAAGCCATGGAGTAAAACTCCTGGTACTTATTTCGGCTATTCTTGGGTGTTAGGTTCCTATTTTGTTACTTTATGTTCCCCAGATGAATGCAATCTTTCTATGTCTGTCCCTCTCTTTCTGACTCATTTCGCTTAGCATGATACTTTCCCTGTAGTACCACTTGTATGTAAATTTCATGACTTCATTCTTTCTAACAGCTACTTAGTACTCCATTGTGTAGATGTACCAAAGTTTCTTTAACCAGTCATCTGTTCTCAGGCACTCAGGTTTTGTCCAGATTCTAGCTATTGTAAACAATGCTGTAGTGAACAAACAAATACAGATGTCACATCAACTATATTTTTTGATCTCCAGGATATATTCCCAGGAGAGGTATTGCTGGGTCAAATGGGAGCTCAATTTCTAATTTTTTGAGAATCGTCCATACTGTTTTCCAAAAGGGTTGAACCGGTCAACATTCCCACCGGCAGTGAAAGAAAGTCCCTTTCTCACCACATCTGCGTCAACACCGGTTGCTTTTGTTCTTTTGGATGTGTGCCAGTCTCTGTGGTGTGAGATGGTATGTCATTGTTGTTTTGATCTACATCTCCCTGATGATTAATGATGTAGAGCATTTTCTCATGTGCCTTTGAGCCATTCGGGTTTCTTCTTTGAGACAGTTTCTGTTCATTTCATCGCCCCATTTTTTGATGGGATTGGATGTTTTCTTCTTGTGGAGTCCAACCAGTACTTTTTATATCCTTGATATCAACCCCTTGTCAGATGTGTATTAGGCGAATATCCTTTCCCATTATGTAGACTGTCTTTGTATTTTGGTCACTGTTTCTTTTGAGGTGCAGAAGCTTTTTAGTTTAAGATAGTCCCATTTCTCTATCTCTGTTTTCACTTGCTTGGTCAGTGGTGAGACATCTTTGAAGATACCATTAGCTTCAATGTCATGGAGGGTTTCGTTAACTTTGTCTTCAATGTACCTTATGGATTCCAGTCTGATGTTGAGGTCTTTAATCCATTTTGATCTTACTTTTGTGTATGGTGTTAGGCAGAGATCTGAGCCCATTTTTTTTTGCATGTAGCCAGCACAATTTGCTGAAGAGGCTTTCCTTGCTCCACTTCACATTTCTTGCTCCCTTATCAAAGATTAGATGATCATATGTTTCAGGGGAGATATTAGTATATTCAACCCTGTTCTATTGGTCTGCAGCTCTGCCTTTGTTCCAGTACCATGCTGTTTTAATTATTACTGCTTTGTAATAGCGTTTGAAGTTAGGGAGCTTGATTCTTCCCATTTTCTTTTTCCCAAGAATTTCTTTAGCTATTCTTGGGGTTTATTGTTCCACATGAATTTCAGGAGTGCCTGCCCCATTTCTTTGAAGAATGCTATGGGCATCTTTATAGGGATCGCATTGAATTTGTACAATGCTTTGGGAAGTATTGCCATTTTGACAATGTTAAATCTCCCGATCCAGGAGCAGGGGATATCTTTCCATTTGAGGAAAGTTTATAGCTCTACAATCATTGCACAAGAAGGAGGAGCGAGCCCAAATCAGTAACCTAACCTCACAGCTTAAGAGCTTGGAGAATGACCAACAAAAGGAACCCAGTCCGAACAGGAGGAAGGAAATTAAAAAAAAAAACTCAGAGCACAGATTAATGAGATGGAAACCCAAGAAACAATCCAAAAGATCAATGGAACCAAGAGATGGTTCTTCCAGAAAATAAAGAAGATTTATAAGTCTCTAGCAAAACTCACAAAGAAAGGTAGAGAAAGAAACCCTAATAAACTGAATCAGAAATGAAAAGGGGGTCATTGCAACAGAAACTACAGATACTCAAAGGATCCCCAGAAAGTCTTTGAGAAACTTTATGCCATGGAACTTGAAATCCTTGAGGAAATGAATAAATTCCTAGATTCCTATAGCGTCCCAAGACTGAACCAAGAAGATCTGGAATACCTGAAGAGACCTACAACCATCAAGGAAATTGAAACGGTATTAAAAAGTCTCCCCAAGAACAAAAGTCCTGACCCAGATGGATTCACTAGTGAATTCTTACAAATCTTTAAAGAGTACTTACTGCCAATCCTCTTTAAGCTTTTCCACAAAATTAAGATATCAAAAACACTTCCAAACAGTTTCTATAAAGCAAATATCACCCTGATGCCAAAAGCAGACAGAGATGCAACAAAGAAAGAGAATTACAGGCTGTTATCCCTGATGAACACAGACGCAAAGATCCTCAACAAACTATTAGCAAATAGAATCCAACAACTCATCAAAAGGATCATACACCATGACCAAGTGGGATTCATTCCGGGGATGCAAGGATGGTTTAACATTCAGAAATCAATCAACATAATTCATCATATCAACAAAAGAAAAGTTAAAAACCCAATGATCATATCAATAGAGCAGAGAAAGCATTTGACAAGATCCAGCACCCGTTTATGATGAAAACCCTCGCCAAATTGGGGATAGAGGGAACTTTCCTCAATATAGTTAAAGCCATCTACCACAAGCCTACAGCAAGCATCATCCTCAATGGCAAAAAACTGAGCGTCTTTCCTCTAAGATCAGGGATGAGACAAGGATGCCCACTCTCTCCACTGCTGTTCAATATAGTACTGGAAGTACTTGCAATAGAGGTTAAGCAAGAAAAAGATATTAAGGGCATTCAGAGCGGAAAGGAAGAAATCAAGCTCTCCCTATTTGCAGATGATATGATACTATACTTAGAGAACCTTAAAATTTCTACGAAGAAACTCCTATAAACAATAGACTTGTATAGTAAAGTTGCAGGCTATAAAATCAATACCCAAAAGTCCATGGTTTTCTTATATGCAAATAGTGAGAGAGAAGAAAGTGACATGAAGAAAATAATCCTGTTCACAATTGTGCCCCAGAAAATCAAGTACCTAGGAATCAGTTTAACTAAGGAAGTAAAGGACCTGTACAAAGAAAACTACAAAACGCTATATCGGGAAATAAAAGAGGAAAGAAGAAAAAGGAGTCAGTATTTTCCCTAGTTTCCAAAGGAGGCCCTTTAGCTTCCTCCAATCTAATCTAACGCCACCTGAT